AGAAAATCAAGGAATGTGTAGAGTGAAACAGTCATTGGTTTCAAATTATGTAGAATTTGAAACTCTTAAAGTTATTATATTCGGAAAAATATTTATGGTAAACAATAGTAAGTAGACTTTTTTTTTTTTTTTTTTTTTTTGCGGAACAGGGATTGAACTCAGGCCCTCGTGCTTGCCAGGGAAGCACTTGTGTTCGATTTTATGAAAGAACAGAGACTGGTTGAGGGAGACATCATATAGTTGAACTCTGAGGGCCCCTTGAGTTTTAATAAGCATAAAGATTATGCATATATTAATTCTTTAAAAGCCATTGGCACATGTGTTTATGTAGATACATACATGTCTGGGTGCACAAGTGTGTGTGCACATGTCTGTGCACATGTACATGCATACATACAAATACCCCACACGCCCTGGGTGTTCATTGACATTGTGCAAATCAGCATGTATTTTAGTTCAATAAGCCTTTACCTTATTATTTTACATGTTTTGTGATACAGACTAGAGAATTAATTTGAATGTACTCTACTAATTGATTTCTTTCCTAGGCTTTTTATTTGTTTTTTTTTTTTTTTAGTGGAAAAAGTTTAGTAAATATATTTTGAATGATAATGAATATTGGTAAAGATTTACTTTACCTATTGATAATCCACAGGACAATGAATTTCTGTTTTTCAGTTCATCACTGTTCTTTCTCCTGTCCTTTTCAATCATTTTTTTATTTTGCTAAAATGTACTTTATTAAAATTTATACCTGCTCTTCATTTTGGCAGTATTCTCCCCCCATAAAGTGGCATGGAACATAAAAATAAATGTAGATTAGCTGATTTAATTTATTTTAAATTAGATTTTTGTTTACTATTTAAACCTACTTTTTCATGCCAATTTTTATATGTTCATCAGGCTGTGAAGTAAGCAAAAGGCATAACAGAACTTTTCCTTTAAGAACTAGGATGTGAAAATGATAGATGTGTTTTTTATTATTGCTGTTTTCTGAATGAAATTTCTTCAGCTGTGTTTTGTTGTTTTTTAGGAGTGGCAGAATTCTATTCAGAAGAATGCAGGCCTTGCTTTTATTGAACTTGTCAATGAAGGAAGGTAATCTATTTTATGTTCATTCATATTTCACTATAAGATCTTAATGTATTTTTCTTATGCGAATTGATGGGTTAGGGTTCTGCATTTCTTGTTTTGGCACTTAGTAATATAATAGAATTCTCACATTAATTATTAGAAATATGTCAACATGTAGCCACTTTATAAATTTTTTTATTGTTACATGCTTATTTGTAAGGTTATGGTCTTTATTTTTTTAATAACTGTGCCTGAGTTTCATAAAGGTAAGCTGATGGTTTTGTTTTTTTTTTTTCCCACGGAACCGGGGATTGAACTCAGGCCCTTACTCTTGCCAGAGAAACACTTACTCTACTGAGCCATCTCCCTAGCTCCAGATGATTCTATTTGCAGATAGAAAGAAAAGCTTTACTTATTTCCAGTTCATATAAAATTATGTTATGTTTGTAGAGCCTATAATTAGATTTATTTGTCCATAGTATTTTGAGTATGATAGCCTGACCATAAGAATGTAAAGGAACAATTTTTTTTGTTTGTGTTTTGAAGTCATGAATAAAGGGAGAGAGGGAGTAGGTAGGTGGGGTTTCCGCTTAAAGAGCAGAGACAAAAGAATCCAAAGAAAGAAGATTTAATGGTAGAAAAGAAAAGTGAAGAAAGTATAGAAATAAAAAAGAATTAAAAGGGGAAATTTTATTTTTTTTAAAGAGAGTACAAATAAAAAATTACAAGCGATGCAGAATTTCACTTTATAAAGTAATATGAATTTCACAGTGTCTGTTGTAAGCCATAGTATTATCTTCCAAACAGTTATTTGTGTTACCAGATATCCTCATGTAAACATGGAACAGGAAAGAAAACACTAAAGAAATATATAAGAATTAGGAAGAGAAAAGGGAGAAACAATTGGAAAAAGGAGACAAATCAAATTAAGCCTTATCTACTCCTTTCTATAGACCAGCAGAAATGCACGGTACAGTTCTCCAAATCATTCTGCTTACATACAGAGATAAATCTCTTTCCCTCACTCCCTCTCCTGTCCTCCTTAACTCAGTAGCTCTTTTCTTTTGAATAAGTTCATTCCCTTTTCCCAGTATCTTTTGTACCCTTCAGTTCCATTTTTCTCTTTCAGGTTCTCACACTAAGGAGACAATATGATGTTTGCAGATGTGGGTTTGATTTATTTCACTTAACATTATTTTCTCTAGTTGCATCCATTTACTGATAAAAGACTCAAGTTCATCCTGTTTTATAGCTGAATAGTACTCAATTGTGTAAAAACACATCTTCTTTATTGATTCTTCAGTTGATGTGCATCTGGGTTGTTTCTAAGGTTTAGCTATGACAAATTGCATTGCTCTAAACATGGGTGCACATATATTTCTGTGGTATGAAGTTTTCAGTTCTTCTGGAAAAATACCTGAAGGGAAAAGCTGGCTTGAATGGGATCTCCAATCCTAGCTTTTGAAGGAACTTCCACACTGATTTCCATAGTGGTTGTACCAGTCTGTACTCCAACCAACAGTGGAGAAGGGTTTCTTTTTCTCCACAGCCCAAAAGGGGAAGATTTTAAGAGAGTGAATTTTAAAAGATAAAAGTAAACTGAGAAATTGTAAGTTGGTCACTTTATGTTAGTTGATTTTGCATTGGTGAAATTATGACTGCCTGTCCTTGAACATTGTACCCTCAGTTTTTCTTTGTAGTGTATTGCATCATGATAGTAATAGTTTGAACTACATAATAACTAGGCATCCAACCTCTCTTCATGTTATAAAAAAGAAAAGGATATAGATGAATTTATTTATTTTTCTTCCTAATTTTATTATATTTTGAAGAGTAAAAATAGAAGCAAAAACAAATAGACAGAAACAGGGTAAAATACAACAATGCATATATTTCCCCAATCTTGCATACCTATATCTGTTAATCTGAGTGACATATTTGATGATAAAAATAGATAATATAACAATCCTTGTTAACTAGCTATTCCTGTTTTGAAAATCTAAATTTATTTTTTATTACTGAAATATTTTACTCAGAAATATTTGCACATGCTTACAGATTTGTTAGAAATAAGTAACTCTACAATAGCAATGCTTCATGCTACATTCTGTGATCAAAGTAGGTAACAACAGAGCACTAATATGGCACAGAGAAAAAGAGTCCTTAAATTATTATGGAAGAGCAGGTGCAATGTAACTTGACAGTATGGATTTTGAGATGTATTTTCAAGGATGAGTATGTTTAGTCATGCGATATGAAAAGATTGGTAGGTATAGATAAATTGGAGGGTATTTGTGGAGAAAGCATTTAAATAAAAGGAACAGGGCTGGCCAGATAGCTGAGTGGATTAAAGTGCCTGCTAGGCAGACGCAGGGATCCAGGACCCGGATTCCATCCTTAGTGTGCCATGCTGGCCCTGTCTCCAGGGCACACTGAGACAGCAATTGTGACTGTGCATGGTGGCACACACCTGTAATCCCAGTGCTCAGGAGGCTGAAAACAGGAAGATCACTATGAGTCCGATTTGTGTAGTGAGGGCCTGTAGACCCTGTACTAAATACATAATAAATAAATAGATAGATAGATAGATAAATAAATGGAACAATATCAACAGCCATCCTGCTGAGGAATGTATATAGGAAACTCATGTATGTATATGGATGTGTATACACATGTATGTTTGTGTATGTTGTAGGTAATATGCTGTTGGAATAGAATTGGGCTTGTGGGTCCGAAAAAGAATGTTTTATGCTAATGTTGCTTAGACAAGATATCATGCCTATGTCTGGTACTCCTATTATCTACTATGAAGACCACAATATGCAATGTGTCAAGTATTGTAGCTGTCCGACTGTGTCTTTTGAAATTTGGTTTCATTGTTTATATCTTTTCTCTTTAAAAAATAAAAATGAAAACAAAAAGCCCAAGTGCAGTATATTTGGACTTGGGAGTATTTGCACATTCCAAGCAAAAGAGTATGAATATATTTATATTTCAGAAAGCTACCTAGTAGAATTATTTAGGATGGTTTGAAGGCAAGGAGACCTGATTGAAATTGAGAACAGCTATAAGACTACTCCTAACTCTGTGTGAGAAGTGGGGTTAAATTGTAGTCTGGTACCTGCCAAGTAGTAGGTAATTAATAAATATTTATTAGTGAATGAATGATTAGTACTTTTGTTTACTTGCATTAGAACTTTGTTCATCAAATCATAAGTATTTCTCTGGTTGAATCTCAAAATTGGGAATTTCATGCTTTTAAAGTCTATAGTAAACTAAGTGAACCTATGAATATTTATTTTGATTTCTCTGTTCTATGCCATTATATACTAAATTAAATAGGACTTGGGTACAAAGGCAGCAAAAAAAGGCCACTTAATAAAGATTTGGTGGGAAGTGTTGATTGAGTATGTTCTTTACTCAATGCAGAACACAGTTTTCCTTCATTTTTTAAAAATAAAATTCTTCTGTTCTTTTATCAAGAAAAACGTAGAAAAAACAACTTTAATTATTACTGGTTTTACCAAGTTTAAGTACTTTTAATTTTGCTTGTCATTGTTTATTGACTCAGGCAGCATGTGCTTATGATAAAGAGTATTAACTTTGAAGATAGTCCAGAATTCAAGTTTCACATCTGCTATTTAGCAAGCACTGTTTACTTCTTGTGCCTCAGTTTTCCCTTCTGTGCATTAAGCCAGCACACTCTGTGTACTAGGAAGTTTTCTTGATTCTGGGGAAACAGCAATAGATGCACCAGTTATATATATATTGGTGCATCTATTGAAGAATGTATATTTTATTTTTGTAACATGTTCGCAGTAATTGTGATTATACTCATTGTATACATCACACATCTTCATTCATCTCCTTCCTTCCCTTGGCCTTCTACATCTCTTGGTCCCCTTTTGCAAAAGATCTAGCTCTGTTTTCTATTATCTTTTGTTTTTCTCTTTATTTATATTTTGGCTTTCTCATATAAGAAAAATCATACATAAACTTGCATGTCTGATTTATTTCATTTAACATTATGTTTTCAAAGTGCGTCCATTTTTAGTTTGTCTTATATTCTAACAAACAGTGCCCTTAAGGAAGTTAGAAGTAGGTTGTATTATGGTAAATACTGTGGGAACAAAAAAAGTGGAGCTCACGTAAGTAATGTTGATTTTTGTTTTGGTAGATTTTTGAAGGAATTAAAAAAGATCGGGAGTGTTTGCAGTTTAAATAGAATGTTCAGATTAGAATGCTGTGAGGCAGTTACCTCTGAGAAAGCACTTGGAGCACATGGAGCAATTAACCCTTTTGGCATGCAGGTAAAATCCCCAGAGACCTAAGGAATAGTGAGTGAGTGTTTCCATGGTCTATTTGAGGAATCAGGCCAATATATAGCAATAAAAAAGGGTCAAAGTAGAAAAAAGTGAAAAAGTCAAAAAGGTAATATAAAGTAAGTGTTTGTGTAGAGCCTTTGAAATTTGTTTTGTAGGGAATGAAAGTCATTACAGGAATTTGAATAAAGAAGTAAGACAATCCCTCGATTGTCTTCAAAGGATCATTCTGGCTTTTGCTAAAGAATTGAAACATAGAAGCTAAGAAATCATTGGTGATCTATTGTAATAATAATTAGAGGTTCATATCACCTTCTAATGTTGCTACTCTGGGGACCAAAGCTTTAACAAACAGACCTGTAAAATAAGGACACATATCCAATACCATATTAGGCTTTTTTTCATAGATGTTTTCAAGTTTCATTTGTGTTGCAGATATGCCAGAACTGTTTATCGTTGATGAATAATATTTCATTTTAGGATATATTATATATTACTTATCCTTTAATCAGCTGATGGATATTTAGGTTGTTTTTGCTCCTTGACTATTTGAATGATGATTTTAAGAGTATTTGTATGTTTTTTATGTACTTAATTTTTCATTTATATTGGGTACCTACTTAGGAAAAGAAATGTTGGGTTACACTGTAACTCTGTATTTAACTTTTTGAAGAGCTGCCAGATCTTTTTCCCTGGTTGTGT